ATCCCCCCTCTTACACGACTGTCTGCGTAAAGACCACCCCCCCCCCTTCCCCCCCCGTCTCACGTCCCCAGCACCAAAAACTTGAATTGTCAAACGATTAACACACGCGTGTCCGCACTCCCGCACCTTCGCCACGACGACCTACAAAATCAAAGCAATGACTGATGAAAGAAAGGAAGAGGGTGGTCCACAGACCGCCATCCCGTTAAATAACAACAGACGAAGGGCTGATGAGTCGTCCCCACGGGCCGGGACCCCGACCACACAAGAAGGACAGTCACATCAATCTGCCCCCCAGAATAGCACCCCCACTGCTCGCCCACCTGCAGGGGCATGGGCGACCAAATTGGTGATTGGTTTGGCCATCCCAGGGCAGGAAAGGGGGGAGAGCTTCATACAGCAGGGGCCCCAAACAGAACGGCAGGGACGGCCAAAACCAGATCCCCTCGAAAATACGACGCATGGCAAGGAACAGCCGATGTCCAGAGAAAGGCAGGCTCTCATGAAGGCCCTTGCAGCAGCTGGAAAGAGGACAGAAGGGGCACCGCTGGCTCTTGATGCCATGGGACTGATGAAAGCCCACTTCATTCAGAAGCTTCATGTGCGACCACAGAGGAAGTTTATTGAAAAGAATGGGTATATTTACCCCCATGCAATCTTTCCTCTGCAGGCCCTTGGCAATCGGGATATGATTTATGCCAAGAATGCAGTGCAAAATTGCAAATCAGATTTCCGACAGAAACAACAAACGCCCTGATCAATGACAAACTGAGATGGATCAACAGTCCGTTGAGAACCATAAAAGATGACAACCAAGCTGTCCATGACCACTTCCTCATTGAAACTGTGGACGCTACAACTGTGACAGTCATCACGATCTACCTGATTGACAGGGAAAATGTGCTGAGAAATTGAGAATGCATAACCTCAAATTCCATGGATGATCAGTGGAACTGCGACCATGGGTGCCCCTGAGCCCGATCACATCCGACCAGCGCAGAGATCAGCTGTTACATGCTGCGCCTGCAACAGGCTGCACGGGCCATTTCAAGGCCCGTGACGTTTTCAGGCCAAAAGCCCGAAAACAAGGGCCTACAGCTGTCTCTTATACACATCTAGATGTGTATAAGAGACAGGTGTATGGACGCGCTTCTGCAGAGGCATCGAAGGGTCTATAGGCACCTCGGGGAGCTAGGCATGGCAACAATTGAAGGGAGTGTGCGCGAAGGAGGTCTGGAGAGTTGTCGCCATACGTGTCGCTGTCGACGACGACGGCAGGCGAAAAATCGAGGTCGGGGTCCGTCCGTCTGCTCCATGCTTTCGATGCGTCTGCGCCTCCTCCACCATAAAGGTCGTCCGCTTGCGGCTTCTCCAGCACTAAAGGTCGGCGCACACGGTGCACAGCGACGACATCCACGCTGGATGCCCTCTGCCTTTTCTCGTCGTCGCACCACACAGCGATCGTGTGGTCGCCCGTTTCTTCGCAGTCCTCGTTGTCTTGGACTTCTTCAATGTTGTCGTCGATCATCGCTGTGGATCTTCTCGCTCTCCTTCTCACCGCGGATCCATCTCGCCGCGGATCCGTATCGCCCCTTCGGAGGTCCGGCGTCCTTTAGTAGCGAAGATCTTCTTTCGCCGCGGAGCAGTGTCCGCAGGGTTCATCTCCTTCTCGTCTGGGACTTCTTCAATGTCGTCGTTGATCATCACTGTGGATCTTGTCGCTCTCCTTCTCGCCGCGGATCCTTCTCGCCACGGATCCGTATCGCCCCTTCGGAGGTCCGGTGTCGCTTAGTCGCGAAGATCTTCTTCTCGCCGCGGAGCAGTGTCCGCAGGGTTCATCTCCTTCTCACGTTCGCGTCGACGTCGAGCTAGTGTGTGTGGCAAGGGCGGCCCCCTCTGTCTTTGTCGCCGCGGATCTCTCTCGCCACTTGGGGGCTCGCCGTCATCTGTGTCGTCTTCTTCTCGTCGCGAACCAGTCTCGCTGGTGTCGCCCAAGTACTTCGGTACACGTGGACGCATTGCTCACCAGGGCGGCAAAGGCGCTTGTTCGTCGTCGGTGCGAACGCAGGCGTAGCCACAGACGACCTTTGACGGAGGCGGGAAGCATGTCTGCGCGAGGCGCCCGTGGCAAGAAGCGGGAAAACATCCCCACGGACACTCAGGGGCGGGAAAGGGGTCGGCGGCATGTCCCCAAGGCGAAGAGGCTCCGTTCGGAAGAAGCATCAGCAAGCCTGCCTCTTCGGCGAGGGCGAAGTTGGGCGGCAGCCAACGAAGAGGAAGATGACGACGTGTTCACGATGAAGGAGGAAGCAGCAGAGGACAACGTGCCGACGCCTCGGGGAAGCAGTCTTCAACGCTCATCTGATCAGAGCGGTGCGAGGAGATTGCTGACGCCCCTTCAGGAGGCGCAACAAGTGCGTGCCCACAACACCTCGAAGGCGAAGGAGATTGTCGTCGACGTCGGCGGCGAGGGCGACGAGCCCTTGGAAAGTCGTAGGCAGCGCAATGTCACACAAGGCGCCATGGCGACGGCAGTCAGGATACGTGCCGCGACTGAAGAAAGGCCACCTCAGGGTGGCCTGCCCTCCACGCCATCCCAGCCGCGTCCGCGCAACACGGCTGCAGAGGGAGGCTCCATGGAACGCGGGGGAGGGGAGAGGGCCCAGCAAGAAGCGCACGTGGCGAGTGGGGGGGCGATCGCTGGTGCAGCCGCGGGGTCTTCGGGCAATGTTGCTGCCGTAGCGAGGGCGAGAGAGGAGGTCCCAATTGTGGAGTGGGAGGCGACGCGCGGCGACAACAAGGGTGAAAGGGAGGATGAAGACCCCCTTCTAAGCCGGGTTCGGAGGGAAGGGATGGCGAAAGATCTGGCCGAGCGTGCCCGCCTGTGGGTGGATGACAAAGCATTCTGGACGACAGGGGAGGGGTGAAGGCTGTACAACATCGTCCACGAAATGCGGGAGTACTTTGTCGCCATCGCCAGCGGGCTGCAAACGCCCGCCGTGCCCAGGAGCGTCGTCATGCCGAAATCCACCACGACCCTGACAAGGATTGCAGATCCCACACAACTGCAGCAGGCGATCGCCCTCGCGACGGCATCGGAGAATATTGCTCTGCGCATCTTGCACGGATGGGTCTTCAAGTCCGGGAACCGCCCCCGAGGATTCAATGTCGCTTTCCAGTACGCGCTGGAGTCGGTGGCGACGGACATTGCGCGCGTCATGTGGTACGGCGAGGAGTGGAGCAACATCGTTAGCGCGGCCGTTTGCGCGCACACAATCGACCTCAACATGGACTTGCCACTGTGGTTTGCGGACGCGAACATCGAGGATAGGCCGGAGGACGACGACATGGCAGCGCACCAGGAGGCGACCGTTATATGCATCGCGCATGCATTTCGCGCCGCGGTGCAAATGGGTGGCAACGTCGACGGCGGGTTCATCTCGCACGATCGTCTGTCAAGAATTGCGGATTGCTTCAGGCTTTTGTTGGCTGCTAGCATGTGGTTGATGCGCATGGCGGGAGACGATCCGCGCAGCCACTACGAAGCCTTTTACTTCGCGAAGCCCACGCTCGTCGCGTCCATGCATCTCACCTTCGATCATCGACGGTCCGTATCCGAGCCACGAATGCCGTCACGGAGAGACTAGGGAAGGCAAACGCCACATTCGAAGACTACCCAAAGTACATCCTCGATTGGGCTTCTTGCGGCATCGTCTTCGGGCACGATGCGACCATAACGGGGCCAGAGGACGTGAAGATGAGGGATTGGTTGGGTTCGGGCCCCTTAGAGGACGACGACGACGACGGAAAAGAGGACGCATAGGGGGGAGGTTGGGGGGGGAGAGGGTGTTGCTGGTGCTGACACGTGCAGGGTGGGAGAGGGTACGCGAACGGGTCGCGTGTTCCGGCGCGGGTAAGGGAAGTGGAGAGGGGGGAGCGCTTGGCGGCGTCCGAGATGCAGGTTTGGTGGCGCCACGTTACGATAACGGATTGTTGATGGCCTCTCCCTTCGTTCCGCACGTGTACACCGTGTCGCTCGTGCTTGCAGACGGCCGACGTTTTCGGTCGTCCACTCTGGCAGGGTGGTTGATGCAACTTTGTGGTCGTGGTTGCTTTTGGATGTGGATGGTGTTTGGCTGTCGATGCCCGAGAAGCGATGGTAGAGGGCCAGAGGCGCTTTCTTCAGCAGATTGTAGGAGTGGAGTAGGTTTCTGCGATGTTCTTTTGTGTTGTTGTCGGCGGAGCTTGTGGCGAGACAAGTTGACTGCGCTTGGAGCGCACCTTTTTTTTTTTTAATTTCAATTCAGAAGGAGATTTCTTCATTTTGCAGATCATGACTGATCACTCATCACACACCGAACGGTCCTTGCCTTCTTGGATGCACATTCAGACGTCTCATCTTCATTTCCATGTGCCATTGTCGGTCGTTGCTTTGTTTGGTTTTTATTTTTTTTTCCTCCCCCACTTATCCGAATGACAAACAAAACATGTGTTTGTGTTCCAGTTCAACTCTCGCATGAAGACAAAGCGCAGCGCATCAAACAACATGAATCCTCGCCACAAAACATATTGTGAATATGCAATGGCACAGTGCATCAACGCAAAGAAATAGCAACACACAATATTGACGCAATTAAATACGCACACACACAACGCCAGCACATAATGGAAATCAACGATACAAACTTAGAAAGGGATTTGCGATGTCGTTCACCAATTCATAGCGGAGAGTTCAAAATCGAAGGGAGGTGGGGGAGGAGAAGAGGTTAACCGGCCCCCCATTTTTCACCTCAATTTATAAGAAAACCATAAGGCCATTTTAAGCAAACTTCATACCGATGTATAGAGTGCACTTCTTACTAACATATTATAAAAATAAAATAAAAAAACAAAAATTAAAAATATATAAAACAGCAAGCCAAAAGTGCATTTTCATGAAATTTTGGCAAAAAAACTGTCAGCAAATTTTCACAATTTTCACCACTTTTCACAACACAAATTCTAATACTCCAAATGACATCAAATTTGACACACAGAAAGCTTGTCCAAATAAAAAAACAGGCAAAAAAAAAAATCCAAAAAAACACAAAAAACCCTAAATTCAGGATCATTCAGGATCATTCAGGATCATTCATCGTTACCTAGGGCCGAAAAGTGGGGGTCCCTGTTAACCGCTTTCAGGCCCACCCGAATGACCAACACTGTTCTATCCTCTGTCCCCAAAATCGGCGCACTTCACACCCGCAGTGCGCCGTGTCCGCACTACACAACTTCCACGGCGACGCACGTCCGCGAATCGCGACGACAACCAAACACAACCCTCGACGCAAACTACCGACCCGACGCAGGACAGAAGCTAGCAACCCAATCAAGGCTGGACAGAACAACGAATCTGCCCTCCGGCCATTGCTACAATGAACGCGCTTCCACGCGCCGCCGTCCACCATGGGGAACACGACCCTCCACGCAAACCACCAACCCCGACGGGGTATATACGATAGCGACCCAATGAAGGCAGGACGGAACAAGGAATCTGCCCTCCGCCCATTGCTGCAATGAATGCACTTCCATTCGCTGCCATCCACAAATGAAACACGACTCAATCGTGTTTCAATCGTTCCGCCAAAGCATCCCTCAGCGCCAACGCTTCGTCAGTCGACGTCATCATCGACACAGGCTGGAGGGGCTGTTCGATCCCCAGGTCCACACGTCGTCGCACACCATTAGCGTCGACCTCCCATAGCAGATTCTCGTCGAAGGGGATTCCTGCGTCGATCAGCATGTTGTGCAATATGCACACGGCGGTGAACTGCTGCGGGAGAGTCTCCAGGTTTGTCTTGTGTGTCCGCAGAGACAGCCGCCACATGCCCTTCAGCCTGTCAAACGCCCTCTCCACCGCTCCCCTCGCCACCTTCTGTTTGTTGTCAAACTGCTCCTCGTCGACGTGTTGATTGATGCCTCCATAAGGGACGACCATCCATTTGGAAGGGGGGTAGCCATTGTCCGCAAGAACGTACCCGTTTGTCTTCACACCGAACGGCAGTGTCACGGGGGGACCACAGAACAACGACCCCTCCTCTGCGCGCAGCGACAGGCTGGACAACTGCAGCACCCTGATGTCGTGGCAGCTACCTGGGTATCCCACGTGCACGTTGAGCACACGCAAGTCCAGGTCGACGACAACCTGTGCGACGATGGAGAAACGGCTCTTCGTGTCGTAGTAGTTTTCGTTCGGAGCGTTCGCCGGCTTGTCGACGTAGACGTGAGTACAATCAATGCAACCGTGGCAGTTGGGGAACCCTTTATCAGCAAACGCCCGTAGAACGATGAGTTTACGAACTCCTGTCAGCCATGCGATCTTCTCTCCGAACACCCTTAGCAGCGCGGCAGTAACGCCGCGGACGCCAATCAGCCCAGAAGCTCGTCCAATCCCGAAGATGCACGTGCTCCTCTCGTACGTCTCCCCTGAAGCCCACCTGTACAGCGCGTACGCCACAATCTGGTCCGGCTGCAAAGGCTCCCTGTAGAACGTGACCCGCCGCTGAAGATGAGGCGCACACGCCTCCGCGATTTCCCGGAACACTCGCGGCGGCATTCGAAGCTTATCCCGGAAGTAGTCGTCTGTCGCATCGTCCCATTGCCTGAGGTCTTCCCATCTGCCTCCTCTCCTGCGCTTCACCCACCACCACGGCGTCGCACGTGGTATCACTCCGCAACCCAACGCGTAGCACAACTGAACAACAGCCTCCGACGTCGCCATGTATTCGGCCCCATCGCACGGATCTCGCGTCAATTTCCTCCGTCTACGCGCGCGCAACTGCTCCTTCAGTCGCCCCAAAGCCCTCTCCTGCTGACATCGAAGAACGATCGTGGACACGGCTGTCGCCACGACCTGCAGCTCACGAGGAGTCAACACATCACGTCTACCCTCTGCGCCGCCCTCCATAGCCGCGACGTGGAAACGGTCCCGTCGTTCCGCTGCCGTCTGTGTCGTACTTCCGCACGCGACGAAGAAGTCGAAGACGTCCGTCGAAAGGCGGCCCCTTTTCTATGCTAACAGTCCCGCACACGGCAACGAGGAGCAACGCGCAGTCGACGTGTGCAAAGGTCCACGGCGATGGAAGCACCACACGCTGCCCGGGCAGTCGCAACGGCCTCGGGACGGAACCTCCGCCGCCGCTGAGCCCCTTTCCGCAGCACGCCGCCCTCGCGCCGCCAGCCACACGTCGTCGTCGTCGTYGCAGCAGTCGTTCAAATTTTGAATTTCAAATGCCCACGCCCTTGGGGTTAAATTTCTTTTCGCGTCGCCCGCCGTCTGCCGTTTCCCGCCTTGCGTCGCTGGACCATGCTGCTTCCACACGGACAAAAGAAGCTCGACCAAGGACGACTGACCCTGCGGCCGCTAATTTACGTATGAAAATGGCCGCGGGGAAGCCACAAGGAAACATCCTCGGGGGACGTCCCCAAGGATGAGTAGAACGACGCCGCAAATTCCCTTAAAAAACCACAAGGAAGTTTCCTTGTGGCTCAAGGAAACCGTAAGGAGTGTCTAACGAGGCCCTATGGTTTTTTTGGGGGGGGGAATGCCAAAAGCACAGAAGTCGAAGTCAAGGCAATCTCCTAACCAAGCAGAAGCTACCATGTTCTGACAGAGGGTGCAATCACACTTCACTGTCCAGCTTCGTCAGCAAAGCTACGGTCGCCAAAACCGTAACATCAAAGTTCCATGTCAAAGACCAGGGGAGGAGCTCCTGATCAGACTCATCAGGTTTATTGCAGCGTTCAACCCGTGCCGTCCGATATTCCCCACAATCAGCACTCTCCTTCCTCGACTGGATAGGATTGCTGGCCATGCTCGGCCAACCGCAGTCAATGAAGGCCAGGAATCATGATATGACCCCCTTGGCGCAAGTCCCACCATCAACCCTCTGCGCCCGGACCTCGTCATCGTCAATTTTTGGTGGCAGATCCGTGTTTTTCCGGAGCTGCGTTAGCGATCCCCCGACGCTCGAATGCTGCGAATCATGTTTTTTGTCTTTTGTCCCCAGCTTCAGCAACTTCAATCTTCAGAGCCGAACAGTACAACAGGCTGCTCCAGTGCTGCTCCAGGCAACGCGGACGTAGCGCTCACTCCGTATCAACGACCAGAGGGCAAAACCCCCGATCAGCTCCATCAGGTATAGTGACGACGCAGCAGCACAGCGAAAACCGCAGTGCTATTGCGTCGCCGATGTGACGCATTAACGCTGCACTGACACGCCAGTGTGACGCGTTAACGCTGCGCTAACGAATGCATTGTGGTATGAGGTTGTGGGTTAGACAAGAGTGGATCTCAACACAAGCGCTCTGACCGGACCGACGGGCATGGCCCCGTAGTACTCCGGTTGACTTCTTCGTTGCACGTGAGGAAGAAGGTGGAGGCCCCACGCCATAGCCCCCCATGAAGGGAGGGTGAAGGCGACAAGGGAAAGCTGCCTCCGGAAAACCCTTCTGCAAAAATACAACGCTATCGACGAACAACACCATGAGACAAGAAGACACAATAGGCACGCAGGTATGACGGCGCGGTGAAGATGGAACACGGCTGCTGGATAGGGCAGTGGGGAGCGATGAGACAGGAAGGCGTGCATCACAAATGACAAAGCCCTGGGGAGGTGAGGGTAGGACGACAAACCGCGCCATCCCGCTGTCCGAATAGGGAAAGAAAGATGGAGCTGACAAGAGGACAGT